AACGAATGAAATTTATTAGATCAAAGCTTATTTTTTCTCTCATTTATAATTACGTACTAATTTACAATCGATGATTATATTTCTTATGCTAAGCTTACATTTCTTATGCAACGTACTTAATTAATGACAATTTTGGGCCCTTATTTGTAATATTTTTTAAATATCAGGCCCTTATATGTAATTATTTTCAATTTGGGCCCTGATTTGTAATTATTTTCACTTTTCGGGCCCCTATATGTAAATTCCCCAAAAAATAATTGTATGAACCTATTCTAGAATACTAATTACTAATAAAAAATAATCAAAAATAACTTTTAGTGTTCGCTCCAATGCCAAACTGATTTTTAATTTGATGGGATTTTGTAAATCTATTGCGCAGCCTGCGCAAACTGTCCTAGCGTTACCAACTTAAAAAATTTCACTAGCCAATCAGGCTTCAAGATCAGATGTGACGCAGAAGAAACGCGAAAAATCAAAACAAACCAAAAAACCGCTCATAACTCAACATTTCATCTATGAAATCATCTTCTGCGCACTAACAAAAAGTTTTCCTTGCGAAATTTTGGTACTACTAAAGCACTTTCTAACCGAGCTTAATAGCAAAACCTAGTCCTAATCTAACAGCGAGCGAAATTTTTTATGGTGGTCGCTAGATCAGTTGCTTGCGCAGCCTGCACAGGCCTACATTATGGTAATTCACTGCTAATGCGGGCCAGAATTGTTAAATTCCGAAATATTCCGCCTGCGTAGTGTCCCATCCCTAGTTTTTCAAAATAATGACTGACTATCTTCCGAAGATTCAGATTATGAAAAAGTTAGAGCATTGATAGATAACGATGAGATAATTACATCAAGTGTTTTTTGTGATGAATTTAGAAGACTGAATATAAGTAGTGACCGTTTGAGCCGTAATGAAAGAGAGGTTTCTATGCCCGAAACCCAATCGTCTACTGACACAAATGCTGATAATTCCATAAGATTTGAATTAAATGCTGCTAATGTTGAAGTTACTAGCACAACCACACCTGCTGGTACTTCTGAAACTGAAGCTAGAATTATTGAAAGAAGAAAAGAAGCTAATTTAAGAACGATTGTTGAAATCGAACGACCGATGAATGTTAGTCTTTGTTATGTTTTAGGCTGTACCGGTATGCATCCCATGGTAAATTATTTATTATGATTCTATTTTTATAGATATTAGTTAACTATGTCATCTAATTTAATTCAGCCTCTATGAGTCGTCATATTTCTGCTGCAAAGGATAGCATTTTACAGGTGACAGAATTCTTTAAAAGCATCAACCCATGTATTAAACTTAGAATTGGTTTTTATGATTATTGTGACCATTGTGGTGGTAGCTCTCGCTTGCAAAAATTGTGTGAGGAATCCAGAGCAAATTTGACTACCGTAAAAGCTACGGGTGATGGTGATGCGCCCGAAGATGTTCTTGGAGGTCTTAATGCTGCTATAACTGAAATGGAATGGGGAGATGGTACTAAAATTCTTTTCCACATTGGTGATTGTCCACCACACGGTAGACGTTTTACTACTTTGGGAGATAATTATCCAGATGGTGATCCAAATGGGTTAACAGCAGAGTGTGTATTAGAAAAAATGCAATCAAAAAACATCTTTTATGTGTTTGGAAAAATCATGAAAAAGGCTGATAACATGATTGAAGTATTTCGTAGTATTATAGATGAATTTCAAATTTTCGAACTTGTTAGCAATGATCCACTTGAATTGATTAATAAATTTGTCGCAGAAACTACAAGATCTGTTAATATGTCTGTTAATATGTTTATTACGTTAACTCCCTATAGTAAGGGCGACTATATAATGCACGTTTTCCGCGGGAAGGACGCGATATTAACTCAATTGTACCTGACTGGGAGCGTTTATTACCTCGAAAAGGAATAATTTTATGCTATTATCTCCCTAAAAATATTGAGGAACTTCAAAATACATTATACTTCGAGAAAGAAAATCTCATTGCTAAACACTTTGATTTCAAGATTGCACCTGAGCCATTTGCCGAAGGTGAAGAAAGATATGGTTATTTCGCTATTAATACTAAATGCAATCCACCCAGGCGAGTGGTAATGAAAGAGTTTTTGAGTAAATGAGAAGATACATTTGAAAAATATCTTGAATCTGTAGAGTTCTCTGCTATAACTACTTATCTTAGTATAAAATCAATTCAGTTGCAGGAAGAAAAAACATCCCACTTGTAAATTTTGTTAGAGTGCATCTTGTGCGTGCTACAATGAGTAGCAGGATGGTTTATTATTCCGTGGAGCCAGAATTACAAGATGCAGAGTTTAGAAGGTTCAATTCAAATAGTGGATTTATTACAGAATATCGTCCTGTTCTTGAGGCATTCAGTCATTTTACATATCAACACACAGATGGATATTTGGTCGTTTGTGATCTTCAAAGAGTTGAACATCATACCCAGTCGGTTCTTATTGACTGATCCAGCGATACATTGCGTTGACTCTTTAAGGTTCGGTAGAACAAATTTAGGTGCGGATGGAATTGAAAGGTATTTTTTGGCTAACCATCGGTGTAATGATATTTGCAATAAGTTACACCTAAGAAGAATTGATAATGTGTAAAAAAAATTTGATCCTAAAAAGTTCGCAGCTACTAGAGTAAACATGAATTGATGGAAAAAAGGGATATTATAGTATATTGAGCATATTAATTTTTAAATTATATGTTAATAAGCTCATATATGCTAATATAGTTCACTTTGTCAAAACCGATCGATAGTTTGCCAAATTTTTTAAAAAATCAATCCACTATGTTTGTTTTTGATTTTAAAACTCCGTCAATCATGTATATCAACTTTGACAGGATAGAATGTGTACTGTACTTAAAATATATTTACCTTCAGATTGTATTAATATTTATCAGTTAAAAAAACAGTCACGTATATTTTGTGCTTCAGACTAATATCTACATAGGAAGTTAGATTTATGATAGTGATAACCAGGTTAGGTAAACTGTATATTTATTCTGAGATTCTAAGCAAGTTTTTAGTCTGAAATAAATATTATTGAAATCGCATAGGGCTTACAAAATGAAAAAATGGCATAATATTAAACAATGCTATAAGCTTAAAAAGTAAAGATAATTAATACATCATTTTGGCCAATCGTTAACATGATTCTGTGTATTTGTTATACGTCAATTCACGATTCATGATTCACATTGATATACAGTAGCACTAAAGCATATCGTAAATGTGTACAAGGTTGGCGGCGAAGACTAAATTCTTAAAATTCGTTAAGGTTAGGGTTAGAGTCAAAGTTAGGATCTAGAAAGTAAAAGACTAGCAATACCAGTCTAAAAAATTTCGCACATCATGTGATCTTATTTAAAACCAATAAAAAATTTTTCACTAAAAAAAGGGTTCGCGATTAGTTTAGGGTTAGGGTTTTGCTAGTAGATCATAGGTCGGGTTAGAGGGTTATAGCTATACTAAAATTTCGCAAGGAAAACTTTTTGTTAGTGTGCAAAAGGCAGTTTTATAATCTAAATTTTGAGTTAAGAGCGATTTTTGACAAAACGAACGTTTGTTTTGAATTTCATGATCGTGTAACGTTACACCTGATCTTGAAATTTGATTGGTTGTTTCAGCATTTCACGTGATCTGCGAAAATTTTTGACTGGCATTTTAAGGGTTATTTCTAGAAAGGGATAGTTATATTGTAAAATTGTTCAATGAAAACTTTTTGTTAGAGCACAAAAGTTGGCTTATTATGCTGATTTTTGAGCTATGAGCAATTTTTGGCAGAACGAACGTTTGTTTTGAATCTTCCTGATTGTGTTACGTTACACCTAATCTTGAAATCTGATTCATAGTTCATGAGATCTGTGCCACCAACCTTGTACACATAGCACTAAAGATGGACAAGGTAATAATTGCATTGAGATTGACTGATGCTGAGATTTGAGGTCTCAATTAACAACGGCAGGATGCAGTCCAAAATTTAACTACCCCAGGATCGCCAACAAAATTCTGCAGACACATGATTTCAAACAAATTAAATTTCAGGATCTGGTGTAACGTTGCACGATCAAGAAAATTCAAAACAAACGTTCGTTTTGTCAAACATCGTCTATAACTCAAAATTCTGCATAGATAACTGCTTTCCGTGCATTAACAAAAAAATTTCCTTGGGCGATTTTACTATTAGAACCGCCCTAAAACAGACCCTACCCAAACCTAAATAAGCTTTAAAGAATTTTATCGGTAATCACGTGACTGCAAAATTTTGTTGGCGATCCTGGGTAGCAAAAGTTTCAATTTTGATACCCCTGCGGTTATTTTTTTGATATACCCAAATTACCCCCTGAATTTGAGTAGCGTT